AGACATAACCTATCTCTCTAAATTTAATTCATTTTTCTGATAAATATTAATATCTTTTCTCGTACAACATTGAATCCCCACACCTATTGCTTAAAATTCTTGCTCTCATCAAAAACATGGAGCCGTCTGATCACCAGCCAATGGCTGGATCTTAGTCACCAATTAAAGAGCGAAGCCTCCACTACAACAACCGATGAGAGCCCCAACAAATGAATTCCACCCTTCATTAAGTTCTTGACTACTAACAGTTTAATGCACTAGTCTTGATTAATAAAGCTCAAACTTTGCAGCAATGGAAATACAATCTGGCTATTTATTTTTTGTTAGGTGTTGCTTTCACGTCTGGCTGATCACAAGTCGAGCTTCTCGTCTCTTTCTCTCCGAGCTCTCTTTTCTAGACGATATGGACTTCTCACCCAACTCCATTAAAGGAATGAGGGAGAATACCAAGTTCTAATCACCCTTCTTGTTGTTTGGTGGGCAAGGTTTGGATTTCATGGCAAACGGTTGTGAGGAAGTAAGTTTTACTGTTTGTTTAGATTTTTTTGATGGCCTTTACCTATAAGGCTATAATCAGAGAAAATGCCAATAAAAAATTGACTGGTCAAGACCCATTGGTCATTTAAAGTAAATTTTAGGTTGATGAGAGAGATTATTTTCAAAGTGTTATGAAAGGAGATAAAGTTAAAATGAATCAACACAACTTTTTAAGTGTTTGTTTTGGACGGCTGCATTGTCAATTTATTATGAAAAAAATTAATTTCCTTAAAGTTATTATAAAAAGTATCTTCTTCATACATAAATTTCTTTAAAAACATAAAAAAAAATGATATCCAAAAAAATTTATAACTACTGTCTGAAAAGTAAAGCAGTAAGAAAATTACTGTTATTACAAATATACCCTAAATCTATTGCATTTATTGATGCATACATTTTATTTTATTGTTTAGATAATAATTAGAAAAGTGAAATTTTCTAACACTTAAATTTTATGATGATCATAATTATTTAATATGATATAATTTCAAAATAAGTTCTTCGAAATTTTCATCATATCCACTCATCTTTGGAGCAAAGAGTGTCGTTAGTAAAAATCTCCACCAATTTAGTAGAATTAGATCAACAAAAACTAGAAAAAGTTATTATTTGAGATCAAATTCACCACAACTTTAACAATACTTGCAAAAAAATAAAAAAAAAATTTAAAACCCTAATTTGAGATGCATTAGCATCGACATTAGTATGCATAATTGCATGTAGATTCAGTAATGAGCATAATATAAAATGATAAATATATTTTATGAATTTTCGCAATGGTTTGGGGTGCTCCGCTAGAGTTTCCTCCTTAGTCGTCTCTGCGATCCCAGCTCTCCAACATCCTGCTGCTCCCAAGGAAGTGCATTTTTTTCCCTTCTCTCTAGTTTTCGTTATGTTCGGTCATTTTCTCTTCGGCTTTACCGATTGCGGTACCAACTGTTGTCTTTGCGGATATGGTTGCCCGCCTCGCTGATTCCGATTTTTTGAATTGGATGTCCTCCTCTCATTCATTCAAAGATGCTTTAGCTAATGACTATCATTCTTCAAGTTTCTCGGATCTGAAAATTTCTTCCCCCTGCGGTATGACGTCGCTTTGAATTTTGGAAGATGAAATTTTAGTTCTTGCTACGCCTTTTGAGTTCACCTTAGTTGGAAAATTTTCTTCTCGCCGTCCTTCTCTTGAGTCTATTCAGAATTTTTTTTTTCAATTTGAAGCTTATTGGTGAGGTATCGATTACCATTTTCAATTTGAGGCATGTGTTGAATAAGTTGGTTAATGATTTAAATTATTGTAGGGTGTTTGCTCACCGGTCTTACTTTATGAAGCTGTTCGAGTGGTCTCCTATGTTTGATATTGAGGTGGAATCTCCTATGATTAAATCCCCATTTCTTAGACTATACCCATTCTCACCCCATATCCTTAATTGTTTAGGTTCCCTTTTCGGCCAGCCTCTTAAAATCGATCATGACACTGCTTGCAGCTCTAGGCAGTCGACTGCTCGAGTTCTGGTTGAGTTGGATATTACCAACTACTATCTTGACCTAGTGTACCGAAAACTTGGGCTATGTTCAGGCTATTGTCATGGAAGAATTCCCTTCTTATTATTCTCACTATAAATCCCTTGGCCATTCGAAGGTGGAATGTAGTACCCTGAACCCTAATCCTCCTATTATTCCCTCTCCTAATACGGGTATTGAGGGTGTTTTGCCAACTACTGTGGAGCAAGCCAATGATAAGGTGGATTTGGATTTACAAAAGGAGTCTGTTATTATTGGTGAGGGTCATTTAGAATGTTCTGCTGATGCTGGCAGCTTGGGTTTGCCTGATAATGTGGTTTCCCCTGCAACTGATTTGGTTTGTAATGTTGGGCTTTCTAAGCCAGTGGTTTTGGCCTCTGATGGTTTGGATGCTGATGATTTTGAGGTAGTGTAAGAGGCTGGTGATTCTTTAACTGTTATTAGGAAGAATCATTTGTGTTTTATTCCAACTCTCTCTCATATTTTGGAAGCGGTTAACATGAAATTGTGTTGTGTTAACATAGTGGTGTTAAATGATTCATTAAGTGAATTGCCTGATGTTGTCGTTGAACCTGATATGACCTCTTCTTCCTTGATAATTTCTGATGGGACGATTGAGATCCCTGTTTCTATTATTTTTAATGAGGATTTAAAAGCTCAATTGGACATTTCTTTGCATGATTCTTGTCTGAACCAGTAGGATTGGCTTGAAGATAACTTGTCCCCGCTTGGTGAGAGTGAGGGGGAGGATTTAGAGGGGTTTGAGGAGGATTTTCATGGTTTGTTTAACTTGAATGTGAATAGCATAGTTGAGAATGCCTTCTCCCATGGAGGTGGTAAACGTCGGGGGCATACAAACAAAAGGAAGTAACTATGGTTGTTCTCTTTTCGTTGGGGGCCTTCTTTTACGTTCTTGGTCGTTTTGTGTCACTTTGTTGGTAGCTTAGAGTTTGGATTTTTGAGGTTGTGCTTGGTTCTATTTGGTTCTATTTCTGGTGAATGTGGTGTTGGGGTTTGGATTAGCGGTTGCCTCATCTTTTACGTGCAATGATGTTATAAGTTTTTGCTCTCCACATGGACTACCGAGGCTTGTTGGCAATCATTGGTGGTGACTCGACTTGTTTTGTTTGGTGGCCTTATTTGGGTTGTTGCTTATTTTCTCAGTTGCTTCTTTGTTGGTTGTTGCTGATCACTGTTTATGGATAGTCATAGCCTGTCGTCTGGGTGGTTGCAAGAAACTCTGTGCCAATTTATGAGCCTGGATGGCTACCTTGTCTTTTCTATTTTTAGTTGTATCTTTCTTTTTTAGTAGTTGGGTTGGTTGTATCCTCTTTTATTGGAAAAAATCATCCTTTGATTAAAATTTTTTTTTTAAAAAAATGTATTTTATGAATTCAAGCTTTATGTTTTATTAAAATAATAAGGAAAATTTACATATTATATAGTTCAATAAACCATATTGGATTATTAAAAAGCAATGAGACAATAAAAGCCAAACAAAATTATGATTAATGTATGAAAAAGGAGAAATTATTACGTGCAGACAGTACTGGACGTAGAGCTACATCCAGACTCCAATAAAATATGATGTGTGGACTAGTGTATTAATAGGTTTTAGTTGATATTATTGTGTGTTGTTATGTATTAGTTGTGTATTGCTTTGTATTGTTGAGTATTAGCTAGTACATAGTAATACACAACTAATTATATACATCAATACACAACAATACACAATTAATACATATAAATATACAAGTAATACACATCAATATAGAGAAATACCTAGTAATATGCTAGTCAATGTGTCATATTTTCATTACAGTCTAGACATAGTTCTATGTTCGATGTCCGTACGTAATCATTTCTCCTAAGTAAACCCCAAGGGAGGCGTACACAAAGTAAGATACCTCGCTAATTTCGCAATATATGGAGTCAATACAAAACTTCTACAGCCTCATTACTGATTTCTTTTAAAAATGATTATCATTTTGAACATTTCAAGCCTAACGCGGACAATGGCGAAAGCCTAGCAATCCTAATTCCTAATTAAGAGCAAAACCTACGCAAGAGAAAAAATGAATTTCTGAAGTAGGAAAAAGGTTTAATACCACAGCAGTTTATTCCAGTGGAGCACATTAAAGAAAATTAATCGAATTTATCTTATTTGATTGATTCAATTTATTTGTTAAAATATTCATTCCATTATTTGTTATAATTTTTATTTTTAATTTTTAATTTTGATATTTGGTTTAGTTTCACTTTTTTTTTAAACTTGATCAAATAAAAAATAAGCTATATTAATTTATTAACACACTAAGGCTTCGTTTGGGATGTCTTTCTTTCTGCTTCTTAAAGCAGAGTTCTAGTACAAAAATTTTAATTTTTATACTAAAAAGCTGCTTTAAGAAGCAATAAAAAAAACCGTCCCAAACAAAACCTAAATCAACAAAATTTATGAATTATAAATAATTGACAATAAACAAGTGATATAAAGATTATATATATTATTTATTCCATATAATAAAATTATAAATTTGACTAAATATTACATGATATTCTTCTTAATATATAATATTTATATAATATTTAAGCTAAATATAATTAGATTCATTCTTAAAATACATACCCCTACTTTCTTTCAAATCTCCAATCAAAGGCAATGACAGATAGAGAATAGCACCAATATTAAGCCATCCTCTTCCTTCTCCTATTCCTTACTCTTCCTACCAACATTCCAACCACCACAAGAGCAGTCACTTTGATTTGCTTATTAAATTAATAACCTTTCATGCATATGGAAAGCCTCAGTCTTTTTTCTCTGTAAACATTTGAGAAACAAAGGAAGAGAACAATATAGACTCTCAAGTCTCAAGACAGACTTATATACCTCTTCACCTCTCACCCCCAGCTTTCTACTTAGCTATTCTCTTCTATTAATTATGGCTATGGGAGAAATAATGAAAGCTGCGGCATCAAAAACTTTGGTCATCAAGATCAACCTCATTCTCCTCTCCTTCTTTCTTATTTCCTGTCTTGCCCTTCTTCTTCAACCTTCCACTGTTTATCAGCACAGAGCTGCCTCCATCGTTCGCTGCACTCTTCGAAATTGCCATGTCAAGAAGGTAAGGTGAGTACCACTCTTAATTCAGTTCATTTCTTCCACCCTTTACAATTTTGTTTTAGATTTCACCATTTTAGTAATGAACACTGAAATTTGCAGATTGAAGATGGTAGAAGCAAGAAGACAGAGAGAATGGCAAAAGAGGTGATTCCGAGCTTCTTTAGTAAACTGCCTGGGAACAGCAGCATAGCATTGGTGAACATTGGGGAAGACGAATTGTTAGATTGGAAAGATATTGGGGCTGTGACATCAATCAAATTCGAGCAAGTTTCAGAGAATTTTGAGTGGAAGGATATATTTCCTGAATGGATAGATGAGGAGGAAGAAAATGAAGGGCCATCTTGCCCTGAGATGCCAATGCCTGACTTCTCATTGTATGGTGAGTTTGATGTGGTGGTGGTTAGGCTGCCTTGCCGGCGGCCAGAGCCAGGGTGGTCTAGAGATGTATTTAGGCTCCAAATGCATCTTATGGCCGCGAATCTGGCGGTGAGAAGGGTTAAGCGGGATGCGAGAGGGGCGGTGAAACTTATATTTTACGGTGGTTGTCGACCGATGATGGAGGTTTTCAGGTGTGATGATATGGTGGGAAGAGAAGGGGAGTGGTGGATGTATGAAGTGGAGGCTGGAAGGTTGGAGGAGAAGGTGGCAATGCCTATAGGCTCTTGCAAGCTCGCCTTGCCATTATGGAAGGAAGGTAAGTTCTTGCATTTATTTACTTTATTACGTTGGTTTCTTTTATCAAAATCATAATATTTTTTTGATAAAATTTTAACTAAATTTCAACTGTAATGATTCATTGCTTAGTAGGCCATACATAATAGTTGTACAAATCATAGATTTTATTAAGCAATCCAAAGTCTTTCACCTTTTAAAAAAGAATCCTAAAGAACTTAGCTAGCAAATGCTGTAACATTCTCAAATTGAATTCAATTTTAGCTTATATTTGGGGAAAAAATATTTTATGTGGATATCGAATGCCTTTAAGAGATAAATAAAAATGTATCATATCACCTCTTAATCGCGGCTCGATACTACTCAGTATCGTGGCTCGGTGCCGAAGCTCGTACCGCTCAGTATTGCAGCATTCAAAAGTAGAGCTGCGTCCGGTGTCCACACAGAATAATTTCTCATATTTGAGATAGCTTTTTTACTGATTTATTTTTCAGATATTAATTATAATTTTAATTGACTTTTTTTTTCTTGCTCAATATTTTTTTAAATTTTATATTATAAAAAACTATCGCAAACAAAAAAAAATCGGCTCAGTTTTCGTGCTGTGCAGCACGTCTCAAAGGGGCTTTTAAATTATCTCAAAATTAATTTCATATTAAACTGTCATATTTTGGGCAGTCCAAATCAGACAAAAACTTATTATTAATCAAATAATTATAATTTGGCAATAATGCAGCTGAATTGTTTTATGATGACATTACAGCTGACAAGCACGGAATGTTATGATATTTTTTAGGTGTTAGATTAGTACACTTATTTTATAGGGAAAATAATTCATATATTATTGAAATAATGAATATTAATAAATAAAATCTACTCTGTAAAATTAAATTATTAACTTTATATATTCGTGCAAATGAGAATCCAATATGAGTTAAAATTTTATTATGAATTTCAGTATTTGAATTTGATGATTAAGATATTACACATATTAATTTAATAAATAATTAAAGTTTAAGATGATGATTGAATTGGCAGAACCCTCTAGAGCTTTGGGCCCCAAAAAATAATTTTTTTTATATTATATGATTTTTTAAGTAATTTGTCCCCTCAATTTATTTTTAAAAAATTTACATACATACCATTTTATATCATCTTATTTACATATCTAACACTCAAAATTTTTATATCACACACATAGCACCCTATATTATTTTAATATCAAATATATCACTGATATTTTCTTCCTACCACTTTTATATTTCATTTCTACCACTCATATTTGATATGAAAATGAACTATGGGTGGTATGTATGTAATATTAAAGTTTTAAGTATAAAATATGTAAATAGAATAGTATATGGTGATATGCATGTAAATCTTCCTTTATTTTTTAGGCAATTGCTCCCCCCCCCCCCCCTGTAGATGTATTATTGTTAGGAACGATGAACCAAATACAAAGAGAAATAGCAAATCAAAATTTGTTCCAAGGGGACTGCCCCTTGGACCCCCGACATATCTTCCAACAATTACTTATAAGTTTATCCCCCCTAAAAATTATAGCTGGTTCCACCCCTAACGATTACCCTAATTTAATCAAACTTTTTATTATTCAATTCTAGCATCTGCCCTAACTTTTTATTTTAATTGTGCTAGCCTAAAAATTTCTTTAATACAACATGCCCATGGCCATCATGAAGATTGCCCCCCATAACAATGACAGTAAAAAAAAAAAGATTATGGGTCATTATATTCTGCTGGTTATGACAGATTTTAATATTAATATAATACATTAAAAATTAATTAAATTTTATATTATATTCATTTCAAAATAAATTTATTAATTTTAAGATTCACCGTTTCTAAAATTTAATCACATTTTCTAAGGCGCAAAATTAAAATTCTATCTTTGAAATTATAGGAACAATTAATGAAGAATTTGACATGTCAAAGCTTGCTGACTCCGCCATCCATGGCCGTCGTGAAGCATATGCAACGGTGATTCATTCGTCGGACACCTACGTCTGTGGAGCCATCACATTAGCGCAGAGCATCCGAAAGACAGGCTCCACAAAAGACCTCGTCCTCCTCCATGACAAATCCATATCAGAGGCAAAGCTCCGAGCCCTCGCCGCCGCCGGGTGGCAACTCCGGCTAATTAATCGCATCCGTAACCCTCGCGCACAAAGGTTTATTTCCCTATTTCAGTAAATTCTTTTGTAAAATTGAGATGTGAAGCTGATCACTGTTTGTTACTTCTCCATTCGTGAAGATACACATACAATGAATACAACTACAGCAAATTCCGACTCTGGCTTCTAACCGAATACAGCAAAGTTGTATTTGTAGACGCCGACATCATCGTCCTCCGCAACCTTGACCTTCTCTTCTCTTTCCCCCAAATATCCGCCACCGGCAATGACGGTTTCATCTTCAATTCCGGCATTATGGTCCTCGAACCTTCCTCCTGCACCTTCAAAACTCTCATGAAGAACAGAAAGGAAATCATCTCCTACAATGGCGGTGACCAAGGCTTCCTCAATGAGATCTTTGTGTGGTGGCATCGCTTGCCTAGGAGAGTCAACTTCCTCAAGAACTTTTGGTCGAACAAAACTGCCGAGATCACGATGAAAAACCATCTCTTTGCCGCTGATCCTCCTAAGTTGTACTCTATCCATTATCTCGGGTTGAAGCCATGGCTCTGCTATAGAGATTATGATTGCAATTGGAACGTAGAGGACCAGAAGATTTATGCGAGCGACTTTGCGCATAGACGATGGTGGCGTGTGCACGATGAAATGGACGATGGGCTGAAGGGATTTTGCGGGCTATCTAAGGAGAGGATGGAGGATTTGGAGAGAGATAGGAAGAATGCGGAGGAGTTAGGGTTCAGGGACGGCCATTGGAAGATCAATATCACAGACTGGAGAAGGAACGTGAGCGAGTGAGACTGTCAGAAGTAATTTTTGTTAAAAAAAAAAATATTCGTATTAGGAATCTTTTTTTAGTTAGTGATATATTTTATGTCAAGATGAAAAGATATATAGTTAAAATTAGAAAATAAATAAGTAAAAATTGAGGATATTTAAATATAAATGAAAATAGATATGCATAAAAGTAAATTTCTACTATTATTTTTTATTTCTATATAAATAAATAAATAATATATTGATATAAATTATATCAAGATGAACTTCAAATTTATTTTAAGATTAGTGAAATGCAAACTCAACATTTGCAATAGTACTAATCTCAAATTAAATCTAATAATTTTAAAACATATTCCAATATAATTTATATCAAGATACAAATTCTTTCCTATTCAAATATCCTCAATTTTTTACTATTTATCTTTTAATTTTGAGTGCTGATTTTTTCATTTTAATGTAAAATATATCTATTAGCTAATTTTGGAGAAATTATTAGGTGAAGTGAGCTGATAAAAATTGGTTGAGCATTTTGCCCTGAATTCATATCCATGAATACATAACAAAATGCTTAACTAATGACATGAGCTTAGATAATCTAATAATTTCTCCCTGTCATTCATATTGTTTGTTTGTTTTTTTTTTTTTTTTTTTTTTTT